AAAATTTGTTTTACACTACCTATATTTCATTCCTTGTATCTGCTGCATTGTATAGGTATATCAAAGTTGATTTACTATTCTCTATGTCGATGACTACTGGCATGATTTATTATTAATTTTAGTCTATAAACTGTGCTTCTGTGTATCTCGTTGTACATCTCTCCCTGAGGATATCTCTGCCCACCTGATCCAAAATGTTGCCCTGTCGTTCTCTTTATATCACCCCATTTTATACTTTCACAGCACGCATTCCTTTTTCTTATTTTTGTTTGGTTACCCACCTGTCTTCCTCACAAGAAAATAAGCACCATAAAAGAAATACTTTGTCTTTCTTATTCATCACTGCACTGTTGGTGCCTACTATACCTGCATGTAGGATACATTCGATAAATATTTATTGGCTACTTTGGTAAAAGAATGAATGTTTGCATGTTTCCTAAGTACATTTTCCATCTAAGAATTATTCCCATCTCTATTTGATTTTATCAGTTGATAAATATTTCTAGCAATTATTAGACCTAACATTGGAAGTTTGATGGAAGAATGTTTCAGCTTGTTACAGTAGTAAGATCCATTATAAACAATTAATTTTATTTCCAAGGATAATCTATTACCCAGATTATCTCAAACAAAGGTGTTTTATTTTACTATCATTAGACAAAGCATCTTTAGACAATTTAGAAACATATATTTGTTTTGTTTTGGCTCACTAATTAACAAGATATTGAAAATGCTTCATTGTATGTGACGCACGAAATAAATTCAAAGTAATTTTCTCACTTCAGACATAGACTTATTTTAAATAGGAGAATATTTTTTATTCAATAGATGCAGAAAAGACCTTCGATAATTTCAACACCGCTTCATGCAAAAAACTCTCAATAAACTAAGTATTGATGGAACATATCTCAAAATAATAAGAGCTATTTATGGCAGACCTACAGCCAATATCATACTGTATGGGCGAAAGCTAGAAGCATTCCCTTTGAAAACCGGCACAAGACAAGGATGCCCTCTCTCACCACTCCTGTTCAACATGGTATTGGAAGTTCTGGAAAGGGCAATCAGGCAAGAGAAAGAAAGAAAGAGTATGTGACTAGGAAGAGAGCTAGTTAAATGTTCTCTTAAAGTGGCTTACAAAGTTATCATTTGAGTGATTGATAATTTGCACATTCTTTGAGCTACTCTAAATTTGGATTTTGAGTATTAGATCATGCGTGGTGACTACATTTCCTGGAAAACCTATACTCCCTCCCTTAAATTAGCCTGTGGTCTTTCTCTATGGATCTTGTAACTATCCATCTAATACTGTCCAGTCTGTGAAGGACTACGTGTTTTCAGAAAATGTTTCATCAATCCATTTGTAATTTACTTACCTATCTTGTCATTGAAAACAAAAGCTTCTAAGGACCAGACTTCGCCATTTTTTCTTCATTTCAAATTGATTTATTGGAGTTGGGAGTAGCAACCGTCATATCTTGACTGAGACTGCCACTGGCTTGTTTTCTCTCAAAGTTAAATAATTGAACAATTTCTCTCCTTTGCTTCCATTATTCTTATTTATTCATAAGCAGAATATCTTTCTCTCCCTTCGTCATTCATCCTGGGAGTCAAAATTTTATTTACCTCACAGTATAAATCCTAGCAAACATAAAACTAACACTTCAACCTCATCTTCTTATTTCAGGGAAGTTGACATCATTTTCTTTGCTCTGTGGATGATTGATATATCTATATATTAGGAAGACACAATATTATATACCTTAAGAAAAATATGTTCCTCTTAGAAATTTTAAATACTGACACAAAGTGTTACTATTATTGGATAGCCAACCTTTCCCTGCAGGGAATAACCAAATGATAAAGCTGTTTTATATGGCTCTGTTCAAACTAGGATAGAGTTGGATCAAACTAAGATGGACAGAAAATAATTTTCTTACAAGTATGATACAGGAGCAAAAAGAACAAGAAAGAAGTCTTGTTGGAGACTTCATTTAAGCAATTAAGAAATAAACCAAGAATAGTAACCGTGTAAAACAGCAATACCATGGTCTCATTGTTTGGAAAGAAATGTGGAAACATCCTCTACAGACTCATAATTACCTAACTGAAGCCTTTTTGTGAGCAACAATGAAAAAAAAA